TACTGTAAGCTGCCTTGCATCTTCTGCTGGGAGAAATGTGGAATAATAAATACAAAAATAAGAAATGATTATATTTAAGCGTTTCAAAGGCAGTGTGCATCAGTAAAATGTAAAACAATGCAATGCAATCCTGAAAGTATATATAGAACTTCATAGCATGAAGCTGCTATTCCTGCTGTATTTCTGCGATCAGAGATAGCAGCAACTTACTGACCTGTTCTGAAAGACAGTTCAAGGTTCTTGCAAAAGATAATCAGTATGATCTTTCCCTTTCCCTGAAAGTCCAAGCCAAAAAATTTGTCAGAGAAGCAGGAAAAAAGCTGAAATGTAGTCAAGCAGTCCATGGTTCAAACAAGGAGACAAATAAAGAAGCCTGTCAAGGTGATCCAAAAGAATAATGAGGTCAATATCACAAGGAGTACAGGAGCCCGAGACATGAAGTCGAGCATTGCAGATCAGTGGTTAGCAACACAGTGTTGGAATATAGCTGCAAGACTTATATCCCAGCCTCAGTCTTTCGATTGTTCCTTAATTGCAAGAATTTGTGATAAAGGTGCTGGGATCTTCTGATCACCTTCTTTTGTTGCCGGTGTTACAACAGGTTGGTGTTTCTGTGTGCCATGTATCATGTCCCACAATTGATGGTGGTTGGTGGTGGCAGACCTAGCAGTTGGTGATGGAAGGGTTAATGTAAGACTTAGTTCTAAAAGGTTGAGTAATGTGTAACAGATAAAAGCAATTAAGGGTAGGTTGCAGCTGGGTGTTACTGGATTTAAGGAGCTAACCTTGGGACTGATCTTTGAGAGAAAAGTATTTGTCTTATCTTGGTGGTAGATGCTGCTGGTTTCCCCCCAGGTTTCTGGATTTTCGATGTCCTGACCTGTCTCCTGAACTCTTGGAACGCTGGAACCTTGAGTCTTTGGACCGGCTTTTGACTGTGGTACAGACTCTTGATCCCTGGACTTTGCTCACTGAACTCTTGGCATTTGACCACTGGACTGGACCCTTTGACTATGATGTAGTGTTTTCTATCAGTTTTTGTTTTATATTCTGTGTCTGAGTGCTATCTTTATGTTCTATAGTTTGGACTATTAAAACAGCCAGAAAGTAAGTGCTGCTTTAATTAAACTGTTTTATACAAACTGGGTGTTTGTTTGATTCACCTCTGCCTGAATGCCAGCAGAGCCCTGGCATTGTGACACTGTGCTTTCCTCTTGAGGCTGCTTGGAACTGCTATTCTCAGGTTCAGCCGCTGGAACTTTCAGCACCAAGTTGGATGGCTGCTGGAAGTTGCTACTCTCAGGCTCAGCAACTGGTACTTCCACCCGCTCTTCCCCTTCTCTGCCTGAGTCCTGAGAGCAGGGCATGACACTTACTCGTCTGTTGACCCCCTCTATTGTACCTACCCAAACATTATGTTAGTGTGACACTTCATTGAGACATTGATTCATGGTCCAGTGTCTATACATCTGGATAGCAGCATCACTCTGCCCTCCCATAATTCTGCTTTGGAGTTGTGTTTGTAATAATTTTGTAAAAACAACTTCACAATTGCAGTGAAGTTTAAAGTGTTTTCAAAAAATTAAATTGATCAATTACTACAAGTGGGAGTCAGAAAGAGTGGGAGAGAAGGACAGCCCTGCCCCTTGAGGTTATTTTCTTTCCTGGAATCTCTCTGACAGGTGATCTCTTTAAGTAGTCCTAGAGAATGCTGAATATCTCCACCAAACTACAAGCCCAAGCACTCCATAAGATTCTACCGTAGAAGTTTAAGTGGCATCAAACTTTTATACTTGTGCAATATAGATACACCCCACTTCTGAACTCGAAAGGAATACAGATAATTCGTATTGTTCCAAGGTGCCTGCAGTTGCTCTTTGACAATTCACACAAGGACTTGTTTCCAACTGGCTGGTACTTCTCAATGGCCTCAGACCCAAAGTATATTTCTTTAAGGGGAGGATCACACTGCTACCTCTCTATGGAACCTAGGCACAAAAGAATAATTTGTGGGTTGTTGTAGGTTTTTTCGGGCTATATGGCCATGGTCTACAGGCATTTTCTCCTGACATTTCGCCTGTATCTATAGCAAGCATCCTCAGAGGTAGTGATGCAGGCTAAACGTCAGGAGAGAATGCCTCTAGACCATGGCCATATAGCCCGAAAAAACCTACAACAACCCAGTGATTCCGGCCATGAAAGCCTTCGACAATACAAAGAATAAATTTGTCATACTCCAAGCCTACTTGGCCAGAGTAGCTTTAGTCTACCATGGGGAAGAAACTATAGGGAGCAAGGATCAGGAGAGCATGTGATTAGACATATTCCTACAATAACGCTATGTTCTCATGCTGCAACAACTGAAACAGAGTCCATACAATTGAGCTTGAAGTAGCATTTGGACCTGCCATAATATTTATTTATTTATTTATGATATTTATAGCTCGCCTTTCACAGCCATACGGCAACTCAAGGCAGGTTACAGATTCGCACAATTCGATGTCAGGCATCCATAAAAGTGCCATTAAAAACAAATCAACATTACAATATAAAACATAAATAAAAACCGCTAAAACATATAAGCATCGGTGTCATCTTGTTAAAAACATTACCCAGTAACATTGTCTAGCCATTCCATGTTCATTATTCATGTTGTTGTTCATTCGTTCAGTCATCTTCGACTCTTCGTGACCTCATGGACCAGCCCACACCAGAGCTCCATGTCAGCCGTCACCACCCCCAGCTCCTTCAAGGTCAGTCCAGTCACTTCAAGGATGCCATCCATCCATCTTGCCCTTGGTCGGCCCCTCTTCCTTTTTCCTTCTACTTTCCCCAGCATAATTGTCTTCTCTAGGCTTTCCTGTCTCCTCATGATGTGGCCAAAGTACTTCAGCTTTGTCTGTAGTATCCTTCCCTCCAGTGAGCAGTCGGGCTTTATTTCCTGGAGGATGGACTGGTTGGATCTTCTCGCAGTCCAAGGCACTCTCAGAACTTTCCTCCAACACCACAGCTCAAAAGCATCGATCTTCCTTCGCTCAGCCTTCCCTAAGGTCCAGCTCTCACATCCGTAGGTTACTACAGGGAATACCATGGCTTTGACTATGCGGATCTTTGTTGCCAGTGTGATGTCTCTACTCTTTACTATTTTATCGAGATTGGACATTGCTCTCCTCCCAAGAAGTAAGCGTCTTCTAATTTCCTGGCTACAGTCTGCATCTGCAGTAATCTCAAAAGCTTGCTCAAAGACCCAGGTCTTTGCTTTTTTCGGAAAGTCAAGAGGGAGGGGGCCAATCTAATATCCCTGGGGAGGGAGTTCCTTAGCCAGGGGGCCACCACTGAGAAGGCCCTGTCCTTTGTCTTTGCCAGTCGCACTTGTGAGGCAGGCGGGATCGAGAGCAGGGCCTCCCCAGATGATCTTAAGCTCCTAGATGGTTCATAGGAGGAGATACGTTCGTACAGGTAAGCTGGGCTGGAATCGTTTAGGGCTTTATAGGCTAAAGCCAGCACTCTGAATTGTGCTCGGTAGCAAATTGGCAGCCAGTGGAGCACCGTGAAGATCATTTTATCCTCAATGTCTGTAACAAAAAGAGTTAAAGTGGGCCTCTGGAGAATCTAGACTTCCGCAGAAGGGTGGTTAATAATCTAACTACTCTGAATGGCTTTTTACAGATGCAATGGAAGTGGAAATTCTTTAAAATTAGACAGCTGAAATGACGCTACCCTTACAAAATGAGTCAAAAACTTCAGCTGTCTGATTAAACTTCTGTTTTTGACATCTGTACTATCTGTACCTTCCACATTTAAATAATAATGATGATGATGATGATGGCAATTCATTGGAACTTGTGTCACAAATACTATCTGCCTGTGACAACTAACTGGTGTGATCACAAGCCAGAAAAAGTTACAGAAAATGAACACATCAAACTCCTCTGGGACTTCCGAATTCAGACAGACAGAGTTTTGGAGCACAGCATTCCTGACCTCATAATTGTGTTAAAACACAAAGTATGGATTGTCGATGTTGCAATCCCAGGTGACAGCAGGATTGAAGAGAAACAACTGGAAAAGCTGACACGATATGAGGATTTAAAGATCGAACTGCAAAGGCGGTGGCACAAGCCAGTAAAGGTGTTATATTGATGTTTAACTGTTTATTATGTTTCTATTTTTAATCGTTTTTAACTGTTTTTCTATTATGTCAAGCATTGAATTTTTGCTATTGCTAACCGCTTTGAGTTGGCCGAGGGCTGAGAAAAGCGGTATATAAGTGAAGTAAATAATAATGAATAATAATAAAGGTGGTCCCAGTGGTGATCGGCACACAGGGTGCAGAGCCTAAAGACCTTGGCTTGCACTTAAACACAATCGGCGCTGACAAAATTACCATCTGCCAGCTGCAGAAGGCCACTTTACTGGGATCTGCACAAATTATTCGCCAATCCATCACACAGTCCTAGACACTTGGGAAATGTCCGACGTGTGATCCAATACAACAGCCAGCTGAGTGATCTTGACTGCTGTGGACTCATCTTGTTGTGTTTCAAACAATAATCATCATCATGCAACCATTATGTAGACTAAATAGAGCAAGTATTATTTTTAACATCTGCGTACCTCACATATATTATGTCTTCCATCTACATAAAGAGGTTAATAAAACACTTTGTTGTTAAGGAAAATGTGTATATATACTGAAGTATCGGCACAGAAAGAAAATCCACTCAGAAGAGAATTACAGGAACCTTTTTTCAAACTGATTCTCCTGGGATAATTTTCTCCTCTCTGTTGTTAATGAGTGTTAGGCGCAGCAAAAACTACTTAAACATCCTGCTAGAAGTATGTACCATGCACCAAATTGCCCTGTGAATTGCCATGACAGCTTTTGATAGCTTCGATTCCAAGCAATCACAACATTTCATTGGAGCTTTGGCAGATAAGGCATTAATAAGTCTCAGAGTAACTGCAGTTAATCAAATGAGCTGCTGACGCTTCTTTTTCTGTCCCAAGTCAAGTTTAGTGTCAAAGGTTCACTATAAAGAGCTGAATCCAGCAGTTGGAGCGCCCATTTTGACCAGCCTCAGAACCAGCTGAGACGGGGACATCCAGCACGGAAACATCATGGTCAAACTACAGTTTCCAAATCCTGGATTGACACAGAGAATACCTTCCCACAGAGACCTGGAAACTATTGAGGCTGCAGAGGCAGAAACGAGACCCAAATGGGACAACAAGGCACAATACATGCTCACCTGTATTGGCTTTTGCGTAGGGTTGGGCAATGTATGGCGATTCCCTTATCTCTGCCAGAGTCATGGAGGAGGTACGTCTCTGATCCTTCAAATGATCAAAAGGACATTTAGTGGAGAAAAACTAATTATAGCACATATTTTTGTCTACTGTGGTTTTTAGCAACACAATAACAAAGTTTAGACTTGCTATAGAGACAGAGAAATACATGGGATTGTGCTGTATATTTGTATTTTTAAATCAAGGCACCACAGAGTTAATTGGGATTTATGAGTAGAATATGCATGGGGATACAGTGGGGTTTTTTTTTAAAAAAATGGTATATATGGATATTACAAGTAGACTTGTTTGTATTATTTGGTCACTTCCCTTGCAAGCAGAAAGAGTTAAACCTTCTGTGCCGTTCAGACAGGGGCGGCTCAACCATTACGCAAAGTAAGCATTTGCAGTATAGTTGATTTTGCCCAGGGGTGCTCTTGAGGCACTCTTGGGGGAAAATAGACCTTGACATATGCAAGTTGTAGTTACTGGGATGTATAGTTCACCTACAATCAAAGAGCATTCTGAACTCCACCAATGATGGAATTGAACCAAATATGGCACACTGAACTCCCACGACTAATAGAAAATATATTACTTACTTACTTAGGTGATCCCTCGCTTTCCGAGGATGATTGTCTTCCAATATCCTTGTGGGTCCGTATGTGGCTGTAGAGCCCTATTCTTGCTCTGCATCTTCTTCCGCAGTGAGGGCACTGGTTTCCAGGTGGAAGGCGGTCTCGGTCGGAGTTGGCTTGACGCGCCTTCCTCTTGGCACGTTTCTCTTTTACGCCCTCCTCTCGTGCCTCTCAAATTCTGCAGCACTGCTGGTCACAGCTGACCTCCAGCTGGAGCGCTCAAGGGCCAGGGCTTCCCAGTTCTCAGTGTCTATGCCAGAGTTTTTTAAGGTTGGCTTTGAGCCCATCTTTAAATCTCTTTTCCTGTCCACCAACATTCCGTTTTCCGTTCTTGAGTTCGGAGTAGAGCAACTGCTTTGGGAGACGGTGGTCGGGCATCCGGACAACGTGGCCGGTCCAGCAGAGTTGATGGCGGAGGACCATCGCTTCAATGCTGGTGGTCTTTGCTTCTTCCAGCATGCTGACATTTGTCTGCTTGTCTTCCCAAGAGATTTGCAGGATTTCTTGAAGGCAACGCTGATGGAATTGTTCCAGGAGTTGCATGTGACGTCTGTAGATAGTCCACGTCTCGCAGGCATAGAGCAGGGTTGGGAGGACAATAGCTTTATACAGTGGTTCTCAACCTGTGGGTCCCCAGATGTTTTGGCCTTCAACTCCCGGAAATCCTAACAGCTGGTAAACTGGCTGGGATTTCTGGGAATTGTAGGCCAAAACACCTGGGGACCCACAGATTGAGAACCACTGTTCTAATATTATGTATTCAAGCTCCAAAGCATACATCATTGCACCTGTTTTGCACAATAGTATACGTTGATGGAGAGCCCGTCGTTTGAGTGTTTGAATACGACTCTAGAGATTGAGTTTTAAATCCTTGCACAGCCATGGAAATGTACTGGGTGATATTGGGCAAGTTATACTCTCTCAGCCTCAGAGGAAGGCAGAAACAAACCCTCTGAACAAATATTGTCAAGAAAACCCAGCGATAGGGTTGCCATAAATTGGAAACAATTTGATGGCAGATAACAAGAAGTTGGGGGCAATATTTCAAGATAAGAGCATATAACATGATTGTGCTGTCCTTGTAATAACATTTTCTGGCCTGTAAATCAGACACATGAACTTGCTTTTCTTTTCCTTTTTTAAAAGAAATTTTATTAAATTTTATAAAGAACTAGCTGTCCCCTGCCACGCGTTGCTGTGGCCCAGTCTGGTGATCTGGAAAATAAAGTAATGAGGAAGTGTTGGTTTCTAATATATGTAATTCCTTTATGCTTGTGAGTAAACAGTATTTCTTGTTGTTTCTTTGTCAGTGTTGATGTGGAGAGTGTCTGGTTTGCCTACTCTGGAAGAGGCAACATATCATTGCCCTTCTTTAGAGGTCTCTTTCCAATCTATGATGCTATATCTGTGTGTGTGAGAGAGAATCATATCTATCTATCTATCTATCTATCTATCTATCTATCTATCTATCTATATTTATGACTGGATGGCTCTTTGTCAGGAGGGCTCTGATTACATTTTCTTGCCCTGGTGAAGAGAGTTGGACTGGATGGCCTTAAGTATTTTCTGTTGGTCATGGGGGTTCTGTGTGGGAAGTTTGCCCCATTTCTGTCGTTTGTGGGTTTCAGAATGCTCTTTAATTGTAGTGAACTATAAATCCCAGTAACTACAAATCCCAAATGTCAAGGTCTATTTCCTCCAAACTCCATCTGTGTTCATATTTGGGCATATGGAATTTTTGTGTCAAATTTGGTCCACATCCATCATTGTTTGAGTCCACAGTGTTCTCTGGATGGAGGTGAACTACAATTCCAAAACTGAAAGTCAATGCCCACCAAACACTTTCAGTATTTTCTGTTGGTCAAGGGAGTTCTGTGTACCAAGTTTGGTTCAATTCCATTGTTGGTGGAGTTCAGAATGCTCTCTGATTGTAGGTGAACTATAAATCCCAGCAACTACAACTCCCAAATGAAAGAAATCATAATTTTTCGAGTGATGGTCACTCCTTGTGTTGTGAGATGTTTTGTTGCCAAATTTGGTGTGATTTTGTTCACTGGTTCTTTTGTTTTTAAGGTACTCATTATGACCAGAGCATCTTTAGATAGATAGATAGATAGATAGATAGATAGATAGATAGATAGATAGAGCGAAAGAGTGAGAACAATAAGGTATAGAAAAGTAAAGAAAAAAGAGAGAGAGGGAAAGGCCAATAAAGTAAGAAATAAAAAAGATATCCTAAATAAAACCCTAAAAAAAACCTACAAGAATACATCCACACCAAAAAAAAAATTGAAAAAAAGAAAAAAAGTGACTTCCATTCCATCTTCTTGGATAAAATATTCTTATTATTCAAAAATATAAAAAATATATTAAAGATAATAAAATTGTCTCTCTTGTTTTTTATATTCGCAAATTGTCCAGATAGTCATGAAGATTGTCCCAATTCGTTCTTTTTATTATCATGCCTGTATTTTTCTTCAACAACTGAACTGTATCAGAAATCCAGGATGATTATTTCTTTCCTGGATTTCTCCGTCCTCTTGTGAATTGTTTGCCCTGTGAAATGGCCATCTGATGGGAATTGGCAGCGAGCACAGTCAGAGCCAACTGTGGATAGGAGACATTCCCTTTCCCCTCCCTTTTCTGCAATTGCCTTCTGTCTTCTTTTTCCTCCCTGTCTGTTTGTAGATGGATCATATGGATCATATCATGTTGTAACACATACAGGACCACCCCCACTTCCAGAACAAATAAAAAAGATAAAAGACACTAATGGCTGGGTGGTGAGAGGTTGTTAGCTATCATTTGTTTAATTGTCATTGTGGCTTCGACGAATTTTAAGAGAGCGGTTTGCACAGATGACAGTCTGAGCAAGCTCCTTGAAAACATATGCTGCTTGATTAACATTCGCATTCTGCTAAATCTCTCCATTAATATACTTATGAATCTCTACCTTGCCAAACTGCTGATCCACTCTTCATAATGATCAGCTTGACGTCATACAGGCAGACCAGCAATTAGGGAGAGACACAAGCTGCCACTGATCATTTTCCTTCTGCATTTTGAAAAGACTTTTTCAAAAAGGGATTTCCACTTCCACTAACCTCTCACTGTTTGAAATGTATTTCAGAGGTCTTGGAAGACTTTTTTGCTTTCAAAAAGCACTAGGATAAAATAGTAGTAGTGTGCTGTCACACGCTGGGCCTGTGAAAGAGTCTGTAGACAGGACGTGTTTTCTGAATGCCCAACGGGACGCCGGGAGTGCCTTGGCTGAGAGGCCTTTCGGATTTCCCCACACAAAGTTCTTTTAAAGACTTAGAAAGCTCAACAAAGTTTTTATTGTTGCTTAAATCTTCAATAAATCAAACAAATACTTCAAGGCTTTGAATCAACTGGTGGCTTGCTTAAATCTTGTCCACAAGGGACAGGCAACTTTCTTCATAAACTGTTTCTTCCTCCTACAAGGGAAATCCTTGACCCCTCCCTGGGCAATCTGACTTAAGCTCTGCTGGCGTGGGCCTCTAGCGGCTTGTCCATTACGCGAAGTAAGCGGTCGCAGAACACTTTTTTTTGCCAGGGGCGCAGAGGCGCCTCTGTAAATGCCCCTCGACCGCCACTTGAGGAGCGCCCCCTCAGCTCACAACAGCCCTAGCAGTCCGGGGGGAGCCTCGGCTTTCTTGCCTCGCTGCCGGGTGATCCAAAGGGACCGGGCCCTTGAGCCTCACCTAGCCCCTCTCATTCCTGCTCCACCTGGCCACCGGGTGCACGAGCAGAGCCGGCGTTCAATCGTTCTCCGTGTTCAATTCCTTCCCCATGACTGGCTCCCTTTCCCAATTCCCCGGCGCTCCACCCACCTCCTCTCCTCTCCCCAGGTGGGCCAAGGGGTGGAGCCGCTGCGCCTGGCCCGCTTCGGGTCTGGAGGCGTGTCTGAAGACCCCAGCGTGCACACCAAAAGTTGCCTCTTCAGCCATTGGGACCAAGAGAGAAGAGAGAGAGCCCCTCCGGCTGGAGGTATCTCCCACCTCCGCTCCCTCCTCTGTTTTTGCGCCTACCTTCAGGAAAGGTGGGCATCTCCACCTGTCTCTCTCTCTCTCTTGGTCCCAATGGCTGAGGAGAAAGTCAGGAGAAGAGGTGACTTTTGGTGCACACGCCAGGGTCTTCAGGCACGCCTCCGGACCCAAAGCGGGCTAGGAAAGGGAGCAAGTGCGGCAAGTGTAGTTACTGGGATGTATAGTTCACCTACAATCAAAGAGCATTCTGAACTCCACCAATGATGGAATTGAACCAAATATGGCACACAGAACTCCCACGACAAACAGAAAATATATATAAATGATTGGTTGGGGGGGGGGGCGCCAAAATACTGTTTGCTTACCGTTGAAAATTACCTAGGGCC